GAGTTGCAATCCCAGTGTTCAGCAGTTTCCCTCCCTTCCCTCCCTCACTTCTCCCTTCTCTTTCCTCCCCCCCTCCTCCTCCTCTTTTTCTGTTTTTGAGACAGGCTTTCTTGTAGTCCAGTCTGGCCTTGAACTCACTATCTATGCAGCCAAAACTGCTTTTGAACTCCTGGTCCTCCTACCTTCATCTGAACAAAAAGTTTAACATTGTCACTTTCTTCAGTTAGTTGCTTTAGAACCTGAACGGGTTTATTTGAAAGGATTCAGGCTACAGCTCTTGTTCGGTTTTAGGAGTTTCAGCTTTGTGTGTATGTCCATGTTGTGTGAGCAGAACGCTGAAGAACACCAGTCCAGTCCTTGAGCTTTGTCCTGGTGAACGGGCCTTTGAGCATATGGCAGTGCTGTGGCATTCAGCCTGGCGGGTGCACTTTTATTGGAAGGTCAGAAGTACAGTTATTTGGAGGCAGTGTGTGGTGACACTGGGCATGACGCAGGCCTCAACAAAGGGGAGTTTGTCCCCTAGTAAAGAATTGGAGGAATCTGAGTTGGTGAGCCAGCTGCTGCAGGAATAGCTGAATGTGTTCTGTGGCTGCACAGCTCCTGGCTCATGTGCTCAGTCCTGGTCTCAGAGATAAGCCCGCCCGTGTGAGCCCATGAGCCTCGGTCAGTCCCCGCGGGAATAATGGGGGAGTCATAAGATACCAGCGAGGAGAGCTGGCAGAGAAGGGTGAAGGGTTTGTGTAAGGCGTGTCCGCCAGAGGGAGGTGGCAGGACAGCTGGAGTCAGAAAAGTGCAGTCTTGAACAATTCCATTTCACAAATACCTGCGGGCACTCCGACTATTGAGGCGAAAGCTTCATGACAGCTGGGCCCTTCCTTCATCTCAGGAAACCCCCGTGACCATGTTATAATGTGGAAAATACAAAGCTGAGTGGAGGAAGCCAGGCACAGAAGCTCAGCAGCTGTCCCTTCGACTGTCACTGTCCAGGAGAGTATCCAGAGATTTAGGGCTGAGTTGGGAGGGATGACTGCGTAACAGGTACAGTTTCATGATAGAGTCACAGGCTGTGCCAGAACTGGGTGGCGGTGATGGAGATACAGTGTTTAGACAAAGGGACCAATTACATTTTATTCATACTTTACCACAATAAAGCATGTTTCCCTGAAAATAATTGTGTGTGTTGTGCATGTATGTATGTGAACCCACTAACCGGTGGTGTATGTGCACACATTTATTGGCCAGAGGTCAATATCAGCTGTCTTCTTCCGCCTTATTTTTCCAGCACAGGGTTTCTCACCAACTTGGAGTCCACCATTCTGGCTAGTCTGGCTGGCCCAGAAGCCCTCAGGATCTGGCCATCCCCTCCCCATCGGATGGGGTGTGAGGGGCAGTTAGCAGGTGTGCTTCACCACGCCCAACCTTTTATGTGGATCTGGACTCAAATCCTCAGTTTGCGAGGCTCCCTGGCCTACAGACAACTGTTGGAGTCTTGCATTTTTCTTCTCTCTCCTTTCCCTTTCCTTATTCTTGTTTTCTCTGTCTTTCTATACCTGTCTTTTTCTATCTCTCCTCTGTCTCGGTTTCTGTCAGTCTCTGTCTCTGTCTGCCTCTCTCTCTCTCTCTCTCTCTCTCTCTCTCTCTCTCTCTCTCTCTCTCTCTCTCTCTCCACACACACACACAGTGCTAGGGCTCAAACTCCAGGATCTGGCACATCTTGGTCAGTACTCTACCATGGAGCTGGACCTCCAGCCCCAGATGGCTTTGCCACTACAAAGGAGAGGAAAGTGAATGTGGCACCCATGATCAGCTTACCAGCTGGTCCCATCACCCATGGGACAGATTGACACTCTGGGGCTGCTGGTGGGGTGTACCAAAGTCACATCCATTGTGTAGCATTCTTGCTAAGAAAACAGCCTGCATTGGATCGTGGGTGTGATAACAGTCTTGGCTGGCAACTTGCTGAGATCTAGAGTCCCTGGGGAGACAGACTTTGGCCACTCCTGTGGTGTTATCATGACTAAGCTGATGATGTGGGTAGAGGCATCCACTCTGGGTGGCACCATTCCCTGGAATGTATCCTCCACTGCACAAAAAGAATCAAGTGAGCTGAGCACAGCATCCATCCCTTTCTGCGTCTTCACCGCAGATACTGCTACCACTGTGGCTTCCCTCAGCCACCCATCCCTCAGATGCTCCTGCCTCTGGCTTCCCTGTGTGATGGCTTACAACCCTGAACTGTGAGCCATCATCAACTGCTTTTGTTATCTTAGCACAGCAAGAAGAAAGGGAAGAAATGGAGAAGCACTGAGAATGTTGGTCAGGCTTTCTGTTTCTATTACCAAGATGACAGCTTGAAGGAGAACGGCTTCATTTGGGCTCTGTCTGACTTTGTTGATTCTAGGCCTATGGTGAGACAGGACATTGTGGCAGTAAGGATCTATGGAAGGAGAGGATCTCCCAGAGACAGGAAACAGAGAAGAGAGGACTAAGGACTCTGCACACCCTCTGAGATCTACTTCCTCCAGCTAGGCCCCGCCTCCTAAAGATTCCACATCCCAATGCTAACTAACATATTATGAATCCACTCAGGGATGAATCCACTCCTTTGGTCAGAGCCCTTAAAACCCAGTCACTTCCCAAATGCCTTCCAGCTGGCAGCCAAGCACTTCATACTCAGACCACAGCAACCAGCATGTCAGACATCTCATGAAGAAGGCCAATGCTCGCTCTTAAATCCCGTCACTGTCATGAAAATGAGTGAGGGGCCACTCTGGAGTGAAGAGAGTGAGGGACAGATGGAGACTATCATCTTGGAGTAGAAAAATCACAGAGATGTGCGTGGACTATCTGGAGGTGTGTTATGTGGGTGATAAATGAGATGCTGGCATTGTGTCATGGTAGATTTGGTGGTGAGTGCATGCACGTGCATGCATTTGTGTATGTGAAAGTGAACCCGCATGTGCCATAGCATGCATGCTGAGGTCAGAGGACCTCAGCGGTCAGTGCTCGCTTTCCACCCTGTTTGCCATTGGGGCCTCTTTGTTGCTTTTCCGCTGTGTGAGCCAGGAGCTGGTCCCTGAGCTTCCCCAGGACTTCTCTTGTCTCTGCCTCACGTCTCCCAGGAAGAGCATGGATGCTTGTGTTACTTGGTCCAGCTTCTGACTAGGATCTGGAGAGCTGAACTCAGGTCCTCACCCTTGCCTGGAAAGCACATTTACACAGAACTAGCTCTTCAGCCCTTGTATTAAATTCTTAATTATAATTATTACACTTTGGCTATGTAAGGAAATATCTTCATTTTTCAGAAATATACTGTAAAGCACTTAGATAAAAAGAAAGTTGAGTTTAAGCAACTTTCAAGTATTTCAGAAATCTGTGTGTGCAGGTGTGCACGCACACACACTTTTTACACACTTACATGTATATTAGTTCACTAAAAACTAAGATTTAATCACAGCATAAACAAGGCCTAGTCTGCATTGAATTAAAAAGAGAGATTAAAAGTCAATTTTACAGGTTTTTTTGTTTTTTGTTTTTTTGTTTATTTGTTTGTTTTTTTGTTTGTTTTTTAAGACAGGGTTTCTCTGTGGCTTTGGAGCCTGTCCTGGAACTAGCTCTGTAGACCAGGCTGGTCTCGAACTCACAGAGATCTGCCTGCCTCTGCCTCCCAAGTGCTGGGATTAAAGGCATGAGCCACCATCGCGGCTACAGATTTTAATAATAGAATCAGGTTGCAAATTACTGACATGAAAGGAGCCATGTATTGATTTGGGGGTGAACTTTTCCAACCCCATTAATGTGACATGTTCACATGACTTTTGTCGACCAACACAATGGTCACGTTTGTAAAACTCTTCAGAGGTTTCATGGTCTTTCCCACATGTGACCTTTAACTCTGGAATATTCAAATCATTCCTTTGAATGCTTTTTTTCTTTCCACCTCACACGTCACCTGTATCCACTCTCCCTCTTTTGCATGAAGCAGCCTGACTTCGACAGGTTCTCACATGCCGAGTGTCTTGCTTTCCCTTGAGCAGGCCTGTCTTTCCCGAGCGCGGCACACGGCTTTCATTTCCTCTGCAGGTGCTTCGTGTTCTGTACTATTCAGATTGTCCTACTCCGGTTTTTAAAAGTTACCCAGAAATCTCAGGAACATCCAGAGTCTTGTCAATCATAATCTCAGTCCAAGGTGTGAGGCTTCAACATCACCTAGCTCCACTGGCCCACCCTAAGTGCAAGGGATTCTGGGAGGTCTGCCCGTGGGATCAGCGATGAAAATGAAATCACACCTGTCAGGAGTCAACACTGTTCAAATGTATATGTAAGATGAACTCAGTGGCATATACCTTTAATCCAGCGCTTGGGATGCAGAGGCAGGTGAATCTCCATGAGTTCCAGGCTAGTCTGGTCTGCAAAGTGATACCCTGTCTCAAAAACAAAAAACAAAACAAAAAAAAAAACCCAAAACCTAAAACAAAATGTACATGTGTACATGTCTGTTGTGTGCTGTGTGTAGGCATGCATGGCACAGCACACATGTGGTGGTCAGGGGACAACTCTGTGGAGTAGTTCTTCCCGGGATTGAGCTCAGGTCGTCAGACCAGCATTGTTGATGCGGCAGGGACTTGAAGATCCATGTGTCTGGCTCGCGTTGCTCTTGAGACAGTTTCTCATGGAACTCAGCCTGGCCTTTGGCCTCTAACTCACTGTGCTGCTTCCTCCATTTCAAAGTGCTGGGATTATAGGCATATACCTCCATGTTTATGCAGTGGTGGGGAATCGAACCCAGGCCTCATGCATGCTAAACAAGCACTCTACAAGTTGAGCTACTGTCCCAGCTCTGAATTTGAGGTTTTAATGGGTCTTCACCCTCCTGTTCCACTTGGATTCAGCAGTGCAGAGCCTCTGGGCTTCAAGGCAGGAAAACAGGAAGAGCTGTCCTAAATTTTCTGAGATCCTGTTAAAAGTTGTTGATCTGAGTTTTGTCTTGTCATTGACAGGTGTGGATTTTTCTCTGCCATCCTCTGGCTGCCCCCTGGCCGTCACTGCCCTGTGAACATGTTGGTGATTCTGGCCTGCGTCATCGTCTTCCACATCATCTGTGCGGCGCTGCTGTTCACCTCCACCGTTAACAATGTGAGTTCCTGCAGTCATGGGGCAGCAGAGACCACAGAGCAGGGTGGAGAGCGGGGAGGGTGTGGTTGTGACCTGTGGGTGTCCAGCCCAGGCCTGGGTGCTCTCATCCTGGGCACGGATGGAACTTTGGGAGCATCCTCTGCTCAGCTTTGGCTGAGGCTAGCCTGGGCTAGCTGGTGTGATGCGTGTCTTCCAGCTGTCCTGCTCTCTGTGGTTCTCAGCCTCAGCACCATTGCCATTCAGAGCTAGATAATTCTTTTTTTCTTTCTTTTTTTTTAAAGATTTATTCATTTATTATTTATTTTTATTTATTTATTTATTTATTAAGCATACAATGTACTTCTGGCAAGGAAGGCACCAGGTCTCATTACAGATGGCTGTGAGCCACCATGTGGTTGCTGGGAATTGAACTCAGGACCTCTGGAAGAACAGCCAGTGCTCTTAACCTCTGAGCCATCTCTCCAGCCTCCTAATTCTTTTTTCCTACTCAATGTTTTTATTTTATTCTTTAAATTTATTTATTTTATTTTGTGTATTTGGATGTTCTGCCTACGTGCCTGTCTATGAACCACTTTTGAGTGCCTGGTGCCCTAAAGGGGTCAGAAAAAGGACTTTGGACCCCTGGAACTGGAGTTACAGATGGTTGTGAGACACCGTGTGGGTGCCGGGAATTGAACCTGGCTCCTCTGCAAGAGCAGCAAATGTCCTTAACCACTGAACCATCTCCCCACTACTATTTTGCTTTTAAAATTAGGATACAAAATATGTTTTCTAAGGTTTTGCCTCTTTTCCTTTAGACAAGGAGTTAATATCTTAAATACATAAAAAACTACAAAACCTGCTGGGTAGTGGTGGCACATACCTTTAATCCCAGCCTTGGGAGGCAAAGGCAGGTGATCTCTGTGAGTTAGAGGCCAACCTGGTCTACAGAGTGAGTGTATAAGTATACACACACTTATACTCACACAAGCAGTCACGTGCACACGCACATGCATGCACACAAGCACACTCACACACACAACCAGTTGATAAATGGACCAACAAACTGAACAAATAGTTCTCAAAGATAAAGAAATACATGTAGCCAGCCAGTAAATATTTTTTAAAGTGTTCAACATCCTTAGCCATCAGGGCAATGCAAATTAAAGGCTCCTATAAGATTCCATCTCACCCCTATCAGAGTGACTATCATCAAGAAAACAAATGACAGCGTTCTCTTCAGTGGTGTAGCTGCTGGCAAGTTGCCTGTGTGCCAGCAAATAACTATGACCCGTGCTCACACAGACACCACCAGAGAACTCAGAGGGAAAGACACAGCAGCGTGATGGCACTTGCTGGAGGAAAGTGGGTTCTGTGCGAGTGGAGGAGGAGGAGACGGTGATGGGGTGATAGGGCCCCAAACACAGTGTATACATGTATGAAATAGTCAAGTATTTTTTTTTTTAGAACAAACAGCAACCCACTCAAAAGTAAGGAGGTAAAGAGGGAGCATGGCAGGACATGCGAGGTGCAAGAGAAAGGAGGCTATGGATGTGGGCGTAGGCGTAGGGTGGAGCAGGAGGATGGAGGAAAACACGGGGAGGAGAAGCAGGGAGAACAAACTAACTTTGACAGTGGCAGAGCCACACCTAATGCTGTGTGTCCTGGTTGTTTTTTTTTTAATAAGGTAAAATTTAACTAAAATTAGCACTGCCACTCCCCTAACCGTACTACACACCCAGAAGGTGTGTTCTCAAAGGCCTATATCCTACCACAGGGCTGCTTGCACACCCGTGACCTCTGCTGCTCTATTCACGGTGGCTAATGGCATGATCATTCATGCCGAAGGACATCTTGCACCTTGCAGTGGTCTAGCAACATCCCTGGCCTTCATCACTAGGTTGTGATCCACTCATAGTCGAAGGGATGTTTTCTCCAGATGTTCATAGCTGTCCTGCAGGAAGCAAAAATCAGCCTGGATGACCAACCCAGCCACCTCCTCTGTGTCCCCTGCATCTTCTGATTAGCCAGGTCCTGTGTTACTAACCAAGCACTGTGTTCCTAGCCAGGCCCTGAGTTACTTGCCCACTTACAGACTCCCCATCAAATTTCCTGAGTGTAACTTTATAAACTCTCCACAGGCCCCTGACATGTAACTTGTTCCTTCAGGGTCCATCTGGCAGCTGTATTAGCAAGGGAGTATTTGATAGCTCCTTGCCTCAGGCAGGAGGTGATATTTCTAATGGAGACCTGGTCTTGTCCCCAATGCCTGGCTTCATCTGGTCATTTCAAACTACAGAGACTGTTAAGGGGAAGAAAACTGCTCAGAAGGCCAACCAGTTGGGAATCTATAAGAGTGTGTGTGTGAGGTGTGTGTCTGATATGTCTGTGTGTGTATTTGTATTGAGTATATCTATATGATATGTATGTGTGTGTTTATGTGTGGTATATGTGTATCTATCTGGTGTGTGTATGTGTGGTGTGTGTCTACTACGGTTTATCTCTGTCTGGTGTGTGTGTGTGTGTGTGTATCTGTCTGGTATGTGTAATATATCTCTATTTGGTGTGTGTGCGTGCGCACATGCTGTGTGTCTGCTGTGCGAGCGCTGTGTATGTGAGCTTTAGATGGGCTGACATGAGCGGAGTTGTCCAACAGCAGCGTTCACACTGGAGAGGTCCAGAGCCCCAGAGTGGCTAAGTCCACAAGGCCGGAGGCCTCAGCAGCCCCAGGCTGGCACTGAAGTGTGGAGAAGTGGAGAACAGGTCATCAGCCCGTGATGGATGGCTGAGGACACTGCATTCCCATGGCAGTGGAGGATGGAGGCAGTGACAGACAGCATCACTCATGGAGAAAAGCACCTGCACGCACGCACACACACACCACACCAGACAGACACATACATGAACTGCACTGCCCTTCCTCCAATGTCCTCCCAGCCAGGCCCCCAGCTCGTTGGTTAGATAGCACTGCCCCCATGCGGGGGTGTCTGTTTTCTCCCATTACTCTCTCCCACCTCAGCTCTCTTGGGAAATCCCTCACAGACTCCCAGAGGTGTGATTAGCCTCTAGTCATCCCCTAGTCTAACCAAGTGGACAGCCACATTCCTGACTCCCGAGAGCTGGTGTGCACTGTGCACATGGCCCCCAGTGCTGCATGCATATTTACCTCCTGGTTAATCACAACAGTGGCATCATTAAGTCACTCCAGCGATCTCCTTGGCAATATTCAGCCTTCTTGTGTGCATCATCTTGGCCTATCCAGGAGGCAGGGGCTTGCCTCTGATAGCTCCAAGGCTCCCAGATGGGACTGAACCTTCAGTCAGTTCTGGCCCTTGCCAGAATGTACACTGTAGTAAGAGGTGGAGCGAGGACTTGAACCATCCCAGAGGCTCCTCGTTAGGCTCTGCCGGAGGATGTAAGTACAGCCTCCTCGAGGGTCTTGCTGAGCTGCTGAGTGGCCCAGGCTGCGGTCACATAGATGTGTTTGTTTGAAGTGTTTGGAGCCTCCAAGGAAAGGGCCTACAGTGTGAAAAACAAAAACTGAAGGTTCTTCTAGAGTGTGTGTGTGCGTGTGCACGTGTGTGCGTGTTTCCTGCAGCTAGTCCTTTAGAATCCCAGAGATTTCCCAGGCTTAGTGAAAGGGTTAGATGGGCACAGAGGAGGGGCATGGGGGAGCGCTGGAATGCGCTCCCGCACCCAGGTGTTCATATTAGCATGGCACTCGGATGATGGACAGGTGTGCCAGCCAGTGAGTCAGCCTGTGTTTGGTATGTACTTGAAATTGTGCTTGCCCTTGAGGCTCGATGTGAAGTGGCAACACGGGGTGTTTGTGGGCCCAATGGGACAGAAAGTAGGAGGCGGGCCGTCAAGGGTAAGGGCAGGAACAGAAGTGCAAGGGGAAAAAAGGCACGGGGCCAAGGCGGAGTCTCCTCCACTCATCGCAGGACGCCCCCTTTTCATTTCATTTTAATTTGTTTATTGTTTGAATGTTAAAAAAATTTAAGCATTTCTATTTTTCATTCCTTGCTTGCGGGGGCACATGTGTGGAGGTCAGAGGACAACTTTCTGGAGCTGATTCTCTCCTTCCACCATGTGGATCCTGGGAATAAATCAGGTCACCGGGCTCAGAAGCAAGAGCCTTTCTTCATCCCTGAGCCTTCTTGCCAGGCCTTGGATACTTTTCTGAATTGATTTTTAGGGTTAACATACAGAGTAATGGGTTTGCTTGTGGCACCTTCATACAGGTGTGACGTCATCCTTTGTTCTCATTGGCTCCCCTCCTCCAGCTAGTTCCTTCTTCCCCAGTGAGCCCCTTCGGCTGTCTGATCATGTGAATTCCATTACTTTCTATTTCCCTCCTTTTTAAAGTCTTCCCCAGGCTCTGCCCCCAGTCCTAGTCCCATGGCCTATAAGCACACACATAAATACACACACATATACAGTTGTGAATCTAGTTCTTCATCTAAGAGAAACCATGAGTGTGGTATCTCCTTGAGCCTGGTGTGTTCACCCATTTCCTGCAAATGTCATGGCTTTATTTCAGTTCCATTTTGTACATGTGCCACATTTTCAGCATCCAGACGTCCAGCCTGGTTCCATTCCCTTGCTACTGCAGCAGGCTGTCCCTTGGCGTCATTTTTTCTTTTACACATTGCCCCTGCCGTTCTGGTAGAACTGGTCTCCATGTACTCCGATGGCTGCTAACTCAGTGTTTCCCCCCACACGTCATGAGAACATGGGCCACCTCAGGTCCTTCTGAGGACTTACAGCCTGGCATCCCAGGGTACTCAGTACAGACCTAGAGCTGACCTGAGGCCTCTTGGACTAGGAGTGTGCATTTGAATGAAGTCCCCAGGAGACTCGCTGTGCCCTGCCCTCTGCGCAGGGCCCACAGTTACTCCTCAAGCCAGCAGCACTCGGGGTCTGCGTCCTAACCAGCAGCTCCTGTTGCCTTTGCAGGCCTGGTGGGTTGGAGAAGACTTCTCAGCAGACATCTGGAGAGTGTGCATCAACAATACAAACTGCACAGAGATCAACGACCTGAGTGGCAGCGATGGGTTCAAAGGTGAGCGGAGCTTTGGTGCCCCCCTAGCAGCCCCAGGCAGACCCAGGCAGGACCACCTCAGCAGACTAGGGCGCTGTGTTTGCCTTCTGTCCCTGTACGTCATGCTGGCGTGAGCCCTGGGAAGAGTCCGCTGTGGTGGAAACCAGGGTCAGTCAGGACAGCCTCTGCTGTTTATGTTCCTTGCTCTCCGTGTGGGATTATTTCCATGTTATTGCAGGGATCTGTGTCCTGCCAGCTAAACTCAGCCCAAGGCCTGTTTGGTATGGCCCAGGAGCTAAGGATGGTTCTGACATCTTAAGAGTTGTGAAAGGAACAAAATCCCCCCTCCCCCCAAAAAAAAGAAGAAGAAGAAGAAATGTGACCAGAAGCTTGGCTTATGTATTGCCTGAGTCTTTGCTGAATAAAAAAAAAATCCTGCCAGCTCAGACTTTTTCCACACATAAATTTATTTCCATATGTTAATTCATTCCGGTCCTACCATCAGTGGTAAACTGGTGTCGAATGAAAGCGGGAGAAGATGCTAGACTAAAAGCCAGAGACCCTCGGTGAAGTCTGACCACACTGGCTGCATCAAAGGGCATGGCACACACGTGGACATCAAAGGACAATCCGTGGGAGTCAGTTCTCTCTGCCTTCCATAACTCAGGTTGTCTAGCCAGGTGGCGGACGCTGTAACCCGCTGACCTCTCTCCAGCCCGTCCGTCCTCCGTTCTCTTTGTGTTAAAACAAAAACATAAGCACCCTACATGCAGTTGTAGCTGTGCGTCTGAATCTGCAGGACTGGCTCTGAGATGCCCTCTGCCCCTCCCCCAGGATCCCAAAGGATGTAAAATGAAATAAATTTACATGTAACCTATACCTGCCCTCCTCTATGCTTTGGTTTCTAGATGAGTTATGACATCGGATACAATCGCTGTATGTCATTTCATCTGTGTGGATCTGGTCTGGTACATGGCAAATTCAAATATTGCTTTCTGGAACTTTCTGGGCTCGCCCCCAATCCACATACCTCAAAAACGGTTGTTGAGTCCAGGAATGCAGAAGCTGTGCACATGGAGGGCTCTTAGCAGGTGCTGAGAGATGCTAACCCTGTGAGTGAGCTGGTTTCTGAGGCCTCCAGGAATGCAGAAGCCACAGCAAGGTGACACACACACACACACACACACACACACACACACACAGAGTTTCTGCTCTCTGTGCCTTGCTGAGCCTCGCCCTCACTGACAGCTAGCCACCAGTGGCACACTTTGCAATCCAATGCCAAGAAAGCCTATGCTAAAAGTATAGAGTCATTTTCCTCACAAAACCAGTTTCTACATTTGCCTCATCACCAGGCATGAAGCACCTGGGACACTTGCTAAAAATACAGATTCTACGCACCCACCCCAGAGTAACAGCAGCTCAAACAAGCCATTCTCGGTGGCTCCGTGGAAAATTTAATAAGTGATGTTCAGAGACACAGGGTCACAACCTTGGCCCACTTTGAAATTCCCCAGGAGACTCTAGAAGCCCCCAGATGAGTGTTCTCAGTGTCCGGTGTTCCTGTTCTTTTTGTCTCAGTGAAGTTTGGTAATAGATTTTAGAACAGAGCTGTCATTAGCAAACATGGGAATATACATTTCTTAAGGGCTCCTGGGCTCAATGAGTTTTGACAATTTTATATTCTCCTTCCTAGCAAGCCACCATTGAAAACTAAGTAGGAAACATTCTTAACACCCCACAAGGTCCGTCTGCCCGTTCCTCAGTTCCTACCCAGGTAGCCCTGCCACACACACCCTGCTCTCACAGCTTTCTTGCACCTGATCTTGGCCCTAAGGAGTGGAGTCAGGCAATGCGTTTGTGCTGGAGAATATGTTTGTCCCCCAGAAAGAATAAGGAAGCAGAGCCAGGCGTTCTCTGCTGGCCCCTGATGTGCATGCAGCTGGGATGCATTAAATTCCACTGCTGTAAATTTCTCGTCTGGCCTCTGCCAGCGGCGCTCCCTCCAGCCAGCCTCAGGCAAGCAAGGAAGCTGCAGTTTGAGCTCCAGGGCTCTACTTCTTCTGTTCTTGAGCCAAACAGGTCAAGTTCGACCCAGAGCAGGCAGAAGTCAGAGTTCTGGCTCCATCTTCTGGCCAAATTGGTATTTTGGTCAAGTGCCTGGCTAGACACTAGAGGGAGCTGGGCGCAAGATTCCACAGCAGCGGGAGCGTTCCGCTGGCCAGGTGTATCCAATCTGCGACCTGCAGCCCACAGCTAGGGTTGAGGGGGCCCAATCAATGCTGTAAATTTTCTTAAGACTGTGCGGATCTCAGTGTAGTTTATAGACGGCAGTATTGTGTTGCCGTGTCCAAAGGTTGGGCGGACTGTAGGCGGTCCTGGGACCCTTCTGTGATGCCTCGGTCCTCAGATATGCCTTCGCCTTCTGCCCACAGATTACTCCATCATGCAGGCCGTGCAGGCCACCATGATCCTCTCCACCATCCTCTGCAGCCTCTCCTTCCTCATCTTTCTGCTCCAGCTCTTCCGCCTCAAGCAGGGAGAGAGGTTCATCCTGACCGCCATCATCCAGCTCATGTCCTGTAAGTGAAACTGGAAGCAGTCTCTACTGCCCGCCGCAGAAACAAAAGTTGAGAACCGAATCTTTAAACCATATGTTAGTCCAGTAGCTGGCAGTCTTGGGAGCCAGAGCAAAGCGGGCCTTCTGGTCCTCTCCCCGGGCTCCTTCTTGCTGGGTAGCTCCTGTTTCCAAGCCTCCCCTTTCCCTCTTCATCAGCTCTCCTGCAGGCACCGAGGCCGCCAAGCCTTGCATTTCTTCTCAGTAGCCGATCTGGATGACATCTAGAGTTAAGGTTAACTCAGAACAAGCAGACCATTAGGAGCAGGGACATGCAGATTCCGTCCTGCAGAAAGGAGCGCGCGCGCTCTTCTTCTCTAACTTATGCTGTGCCTGCATTGTGCCCCCATCAAAATGGCTGGAGGAGAGAAGTCGGGGAACACCCAGAAGGGAGAAGCGAGCCACACACTTACTATGGAGAAGTTTGGATTTAGTTGGGGGGAAGGGAAGGTGTCCCCGAAGCATGAAGCCTGAGCGTGGGTTTTATGAGCACGACAACCACAATCTACAGTGTGTTGTCTGGGTACACAGCGGAAGGAGCAGTGTGCCGGGTAGAAGCCTCGGATGAAGAGCCCGGAAATGTCAGGGCTAGAATGTGCAGGCTCAGACCAGACGGGCTCTCGGAGGCTGGGGAAGGGACTTGAGGTCTGACTCTTAAGCTGGTGGGAATACGTTACCAAGTGTTAGACTAGTTCCAAGTTACACCATGGTCTGCAATATATCTGACCCCTGGCTTGGTTCCTGACAGGTTTATGTGCCATGATCGGGGCTTCCATTTATACAGACCGGCGCCAAGACCTTCACCAGCAGAACTACATCTATAGCCTGGTGCAGGAAGGCAGCTATGGCTACTCTTTCATTCTAGCCTGGGTCTCCTTCTCCTTCACTTTCATCAGTGGCCTCATGTACATGATCCTGAGGAAGCGCAAGTAGGCTGCGGAAACCCAGCCTCTCTCCCCACAGTATGGCATACACGTTCACATAACCATTTTGTATATAATCATTTTTGTGGTTTTTCTAGCAAACATATTGTTTCCTTTAAAAGCTTTTATAAAAAAGAAGAGAGAGAGAAAGAGGAGTTTCTGCCTTCTTGGAGTCTGAGACCAGACCACGAAGGCTGGCATTCAGAATGCAAGCCCACCGAGAGTCTCAGCAAGGCCCAGCAAGATCCAGCAATGTGGAATCCACAGGATGCTTCTCCCCGGTGGACCTGGGGTGGGGTGTGGCCAAAGGTGGAAAAAGCCTGTTTTCGGGCACAAGCTCTCTGTAGGTTTCTACCCTGCCCCTCTCCCCCGGCCCCTTCCCCCTGCCCATGCCACTCTGGCAGCCACAGGTGGGATGATGAGGGGCCCGAGTGAGGAGTACATATCCTCAGATATTAACCCCTAGTTCATGTAAGCAGAGGGCAAAGGCTAGCCCTGGTTTCGGTCTGTCCGGGACCCAGAGCCCCAGTCCCCCTGTGGTGAGTTAGGTCATCATGCAGACTTCCTGACAGTCGCCTGTCTGCCTTAAGGATAGTTGTCATGTTGAGTCTCCGTAGGTAATTCCTTAAGGCATCTGTTACATGCAGAGCCACAGGTCCACTTCGAAGACCCTCAGAATCCATCAACGGGGTGAACCTGTATGTCTGAATTTCCGATGATCTCCCTGCAATATCCTTAGATGCACTGAAACTGGGGGTAAGAGTCCTAGAGACAGGGGAGTAGAGTCACCCTGTAAATGTTAACAGTCTCATCACACTAAGATGGCCCCACTGCCAGCCACATCTTGGCCCCACTAGCTCTTGCTCTCACAGCTTCTGATATCTGGGCTGCTTGTGCCATATTCCCAGGCCATAAGCCTCCATCCGTGAGGAGGACTGGGCAGCCTCCTCCCTGCCCTGTCCTTCCTGCCCTTCTTTCTAACGTGGGTGCTTCCATTGGCCCCTGTTTCTGGAGACTCAGAAGATCTGTCTTCCATCCATTCATCTACCTATCATTCAACATGAATGGGTCTTGCCACATGTCAGGTGCAAAGGTTACCTTTCAAACCATTCCTCGTGAAACTCGGGCTAGTGAAGAACATGCCAGAACCACTCAGAAACACTGCCACCTGTGACGGAGCAGCAGCGACGCCACCAGTCAAAACCTCCCGGGGCGAGAGGAAGCCCACTCTCCGTGTGCCTGCCTTGAAGTGCCCTGTGGCATCTACACTGCTCTAGACAGAGTTCCACTCAGCTTCAACAGGTTTCCCCCAGAGGGTACTTTAGTAGAGGATCCCACATGTCCCACACTGAGACAGCAGGAAAGGATTCCCAGAGCCATGGCTCTCAAGATGGGCACCCAAGGAGGAGAACCCAGCTGCCCTCCAGTCAGTAAGAATGTCCTGATAAATGTGGCATGAGATGATCATACCAGAGATCCAAGGACTCTAAGATGGCAACCTTCTCCCTTTGGTACCCTTCACCATTGTTAGCATCAAGTCGGAGAGGTGACTCTGGGACAGGGTGTGTAGATTTGCGTTGTTTAAACACATTTACATGTGAGCTTCTGTGAGGGGTCGTTTATCAGTACCGCAGTTCCAGTGGAGCTGGGGTTGTTGGGGCTGAGTGGCTTCAGAGCCACCATGGACACCTCCTCAGTACAAGACTGGCTTCCCTCCCTCCGGCTCTCCTATCCTCCTTTCCGTCCTTCCCTTGGGGAGAGTGCCAAGGTGGCACGGGGCAGAGATAGGGCAGGTGACCACCCTTGATGGAGAACTTCCCCAGGCTCACTGAGGCCTGTCTAAAGTGTCCTCTACACATTCCTTGGGGACTTTTCTGTAATAATGTCCTGGTAGTCACGATGGAAACAAACGGACCAAACCACAGGCATGAAACATGAATTTCCACCTCAGAGAGCCCAGGGCTGCAGAAGCAAACCATCCGATACGATGGGAATGGGATGGGGGTTGTCTGCTTGCCACTGTGGCCAGCATTCGGTGCCATCCCCTGTGGCATGAGAGAAAAGGGCGCGAGGGAGAACAGATCCACCCTTCTCCTATGTGGGATCAGCTCTAAATTGGTGCTCATCACTAGTTACCAAAGAACAATGACAAAGTCAGCCGGGATATCCAAGAAGCATGGATTAGGACCAAACCCATCACTGTATTTAAAGGAACTTTAGTTTGCGCATCTTACAACATTTTTATAAAGTACTGTAATTCATGGGTGGGGCATGTGACAGAGACAGACTAACCCATGTTTGTCATTTGCATTAAAATTATTTTGGGTCTCTGTTTAAAGAATTCAGATAATGTTTGTGTGTTGTGTGTTCATGGTCCTGGATGCAGAAGAAGATGCCTCGTGCTCCCTTCTACCCTCTGCCAAGGGCTGTGGGCCTGTGTGTACCCAGGCAAACAGGCTGACATTCTAGAATGTTCCCTGTGAGCTGAAGCTGGATGTGGACCCATTCTGCCCAAATGTAGACTCACTACACACAGCTACCCTTCCTCCCTCAGGAGCTCTCTCAGCAAGCCCACCCAAGCGGGGCTTGTCGCTTACCACACAGCAAGGCAGAATTTTGTCTATCAAAAGCAGGGAAGTTCCTTGGAAGCTGAGAGCTTAATGTTGAATCCTGTTTGGGGACAGGTGTGATTTCAGGCAGTAAGATACTTCAGGGTGGTCTTACTCTGTTTGTTGTAACCCATAACTGTACATGAAGAACTGTACAACCAAATTCTCTAAAGCTACCTTGTCTATGAAGGTAGAGCCTAGGTCAAATTCTGGAGTGGCGGGGAGCCATGGGAGGTCCCATCAACACAGTGATGTTGTATAACCCTGCCTGGTTATTCAAGCCTGCACCCCAGCACTCAGAAAGTCGTGTCAAGTTCAGGACCTCCCGGGAAACTCGGTGAGACTCTGTAAAAGCAAAAGTCAGTAAAGGGCTGTAGCTCGGAGGCAAGGTCGTGCCTAGCATACAGGGCACTGGTTCAGGCCTTAGTACTGGGTGATGGGGAGTAGTGTATAGATTTCATGGCAAGCAATCAGTGACTGATGGCTCATCACAGGATAAACTCCATCCATTTCCATCATGGGGTTGGCATAGTGGCTGCTCACACAGATGTTGGTGGTTGGGTGGATGTGGATGATGGAGCACTCTCTGGTGGTGGATGTGGATGACGGAGCACTCTCTAGTGGTGGATGTGGATGACGGAGCACTCTCTGGTGGTAGATTGGATGATGGAGCAGTCTCTGGTGGTTGATGCAGATGACAGGACACTCTGAAAACTCTTAAAGATCACATGAGATCCTTTCTCAAAAACAAAAATCTTAGTGCTCTTGGAGCAAAGAGCCCCATATGTCCTTCCTTTCTTCCAGAAAAGAAATGGGTTCTGGGAATCAAACTTAAATCCTTGTGTTAGCAAGGCAAGCAAGTGCTTGGTCTACTGAGATGTAGCAACAGCTCAAGTTGAGGGATGTATTTGTTTTTGTTTTGTTTTGTTGAGAAAGGAGAAAGACAATCTGAACACAAAATCTAATACATTTTGGCGGAAGAGCCAGCAGTACCCACCACCCTCCCTAGTGGTGCTGGATAGCAACAACAGCAAAGACCATCCCATCCAAACCAATCCCACACCCAAACCCCCATCCCACCTCTTTCCACCCTTACCCACCCCTAGACCCCAATCCCCACCCAAACCTCCATCCCCACCCCTACACTCCCACCCCACCCCTACACCCCCACTCCCTACCCATATCTGTACCCCTACCCCAACCCCCACCCAAACCCACACCTGCATCCCCATCCCCACTCAAACCTGCACCCACATCCACCTACACCCACACCCCAACCCACACCTGCATCCCCACCCCACCCGCATCCCACCCACACCTGCACCCACACCCACATCCACCTACACCCGCACCCCACCCCCACCCGCACCCCCACCCCCATCGGGAAAATCTGCTGATGAAGTTGTGGGAGTTCCTCCTCAGGTAAGTCTGCTACCAACAGAACACAACCTGAGCTGATTTCTCTTCATCTCAATGTAGTCATTATTAGCCATGGGGTTTGGTTTCTTTTCCTCCCCTTACAGAGTTCTGCTGCATTGAGATAGGTTTATAGTTGGTGATTAAATACCAACTTAAAACTACCAACAGTGGCCCTACTTTCTGTACGCTCCACATCCGTGTGTCCTGGATTAAGTCACTCTCCAATAAAATAATATTTTGGGGTATGTGTTTGTGTGCTGTATGTACTTATCAGTGTAGGTGGGTACACCTGCACACGTGTGTAGGTGGGTACACCTGCACACGTGTGTGTGTGTTGTATGTAGGCAGGTGCACCTGCACATGTATGTGTGTGTGCTTTATGTAAGCAGGTGCACCTGCACATGTGTGTGTGCTGTATGTAGGTGGTTACACCTGCACACATGTGTGTTTACATGTATGACCACAGGTGGATGGCAGTGTCTTTCCTGGATTATTCTCCTTTCCTTTATTTTTTATTAATTTGTTTTAAAGTTCATTAAGAATGCACACATACAAAAGGAAAAAAAAAGAATGCACACATACCTTGGGGCTGGAGAGGTGGCTGCTCTTCCAGAAGTCCCAGCAATCACAAGGTGGCTCACAGCCATCTATAATGAAATTGAGTTCCCTCTTCAGGCATGCAGGCAGGAAACTGTTTACATAAAAAAATAGGCCTGGAGGGATGGTTCAACCATTAAAGGCTGGGCTCACAACCAAAAATAATAATCTTTTTTTAAAAAATGTATACTGCTCATATAGAGAACCCCAGTTCAGTTCCCAGAATCTACATGGTAACTCAAAGCAGCTCCAGTCCCAGGGGACACAGTGCCCTCTCCTGGTGTCCATGTGCATGAGGTACACAGTGGGTGCTCAGACATACATACAGACCAAAAAAAAAATGTTGCAAGGAACCACTTGTTCGTCCTGGCCACCCAGAACCAAAATAATCACACAGAAACTGTATTAATTAAATCACTGCTTGGCCCATTAGCTCTAGCTTCTAATTGGCTAACTCTTACATCTTAATTTAACCCATTTCTGGTAATCTGTATCTCACCACAAGGTTGTGGCCTACCAGCAAAGTTCCAGCACGTCTACCTCCAGCTGAGGATCCATGGCATCTCTCTGATTCTGCCTTCCTTCTCCCAGCATTCAGTCCAGTTTTTCCCCGTCTACCTAAGCTCTGTCTTATCAACAGGCCAAGGCAGTTTCTTTATTCATTAACCAATAAAAACAACACATAGACAGAAGGACCTCCCATACCATATGTATTAAAAAAAATAAAAAGTGCTCTGGATGCAAGTGTGCTTGGTTTCATACACACACACATACAACAGTTTTCTTCAAGGGATGTGAGCATCCATGCATTTGGCTCTTTGAGTCTGACCTCTGTCCTTCAGTCCCCTGGCTTCTGGGTCCCAGCAGGGTAGGCTATGCATCTGGACATTTGGGTCTGCGTGATTGGCTTGTTGGGCCTTATCAGACATGTTCAAGAGAAGGCTCTGTTTTTGGTGCAAACATCTTTGAGGTCTTTTGGAGTGGGCACGCTGTAAAGAGTTTTGTGCATTTTTCTTTGGTGAGTTTTCCTAGCAGGTGCTTCACACTGTCCCTGTGGGCAGAGTTCTTGGCCTCAGCATGATATTGAGGTGGAGAATTCTCCAGTGTGGGCTGTGCTAGGCACCGTCATACTTCTCCCAGCAGCTTTGGCTTCCAGGATGACCACAGAACACTCTCCCATGCCCCTGTGTCACAAGACCGTCTTCAGACATTGCTAAACGTCCCCTTTGAGGAGCTGGGTACCATTGTCCTGGATGGCCTTCTGCAATGAGGTTTGTTATAAACCAGGAAACAGTAATCAAAGATCTCGTTTTTTTTTAAATTTTTAATTTAATTTAGTGTGTGTGTATGGGTGCTTGCACGTGTGTGTGTGTGTGTGTGTGTGTGTGTGTTTGGGTTTTCTGAAACAGGTTTTCTCTGTGTAACCTTGGCTGTCCTGGAACTTGTTCTGTAGACCAGGCTGGCCTCGAACTCACAGAGATCTGCCTGTCTCTGCCTCGTGTCTGTTTTTACATGTGTGTTAGTCCCTGCGGAGCACAGAAGAAGGTGTTGGATCTCTTGGGCCTGGAGTTATAGGATTGTGAGCTGCCTGATGTGCGTTCTGGAAACTGAGTTCAGGTCCTTTGTAAGAGCGCTAACTGCTGAGCTGTCGTACTGCCTTGGACCACGTTTCTTTACACACATATCTATTGGTATTGATGCCGTGTTGTTCATGGGAGACCATGGTCAGAGGATTGCATCTAACAGGCTTCCTGGAGGCAGCAGTTGTCCACCATCAACAGATGAGTAGAACAGGGGAGTTCTGGAGTGGGTGTGTGGACAGATGCTGGCACCAGGGCCCTGCCTCTGGGATAAAAGAGAGGACTGCATACAGAAGACTTTCCATCAGGATCTGCAGCTGCCTCCAGACCTGTAGACAACTCACAGTGGCCTCCACACCTCAGAGAGGCCTGGCTGCAGCTGCATCATGCCTGATTGTAAGTTGACAGTAAGTTGATCCCTCTGCCTCCACATGCCAGTCAGCCTGTCCTCTTGTTTGTGACACAGATACTGGGAGGCAGCGGGCCAGACAGCGGGCAAGGCAGCCGGCAAGGCAGCGACTCCAGCAGTGCCTTTCCTGGGCAGGTTCCTCCCGCCCCATCTTTGTGCTCAGAAGAACTCCAGATTTGCCAGCTGAAAACAAGTTCTGGGGACACCCTGTCTGGACATGGAGAAGATGCAGATCCTTGGGCCAAATCCCAGGCTTGTTATTATGGGAGCCTTGGGGCTGGGACCCTGGAGTCCGCTGCCTTACCATGCCTTCCTGAAGGAATGTTGAAGGATGCTGGTGGAGTCAAAGCTCTGCTCAAATTAAGGGAGTGGTTAGGAACCAGGGCACCTGAACTTGCCTCCTTCTCAGTCACGTCTTTTTTTCCTCTCTGAAGATGACAGATTGTGCTCTGAGGTGATGGGAATAAATATGTGCATGTGTACACATACACACAGATACATGGAGCAGAAGAGGGAGTATGTCAGGGAAGAAGGGGCACAGAGGGGTGGGACAGGAAAGTAACGTGGGGAGGAAGAGGAAATAGAGGGGCGGGACAAAAGAGCAATGTGGGAAGGAAGGGAAATAGAGGGGCGGGACAAAGAGTAATGTGGGGAGGAAGAGGAAATAGAAGAGAGTAATGTGGGGAGGAAGGAGAAATAGAGGGGCGGGACAAGAGAG